GATGGATGGCACAGGTGACGGATGGCAGGGGTGGTGGATGGCAATGGTGATGGAGGGGCAGGGGTGATGGATGGCAGGAGTGGTGGATTGCAGGGGTGGTGAATGGCAGGGGTGGTGGATGGCAGGGGTGATGGATGGCAGGGGTGGTGGATGGCAGGGGTGGTGGATCGCAGGGGTGAGGGATGGCAAGGGTGGTGGATGGCAGGGGTGGTGTATTGCAGGGGTGATGGATGGCAGGGGTAGTGGATGACAGTGGTGGTGGATGGCAGGGTGGTGGATGTCCGGAGTGGTGCATGGCAGGGGTGGTGGATGGCAGGGGTGGTGGATGGCAGGGGTAGTGCATGGCAGGGGTGGTGCATGGCAGGAGTGGTGCATGGCAGGGGTGGTGGATGGCAAGGGTGATGGATGGCAGGGGTGATGGATGGTAAGGGTGGTGGAGGGCAGGGGTGGTGGATGGCAGGGGTGGTGGATGGCAGAGGTTGTGGATGGCAGGGGTGGTGGTTGGCAGGGGTGATGGATGGCAGGGGTGGTGGATGGCAGGGGTGATGGATGGCAGGGGTGGTGATGGCAGGGGTGGTGGATGGCAGGGATGGTGGATGGCTGCGGTGGTGGTTGGCAGGGGTGATGGATGGCAGGGGTGATGGATGGCAGTGGTGGTGATGGCAAGGGTGGTGGTTGGCAGGGATGGTGGATGGCAGCGGTGGTGGTTGGCAGGGTGATGGATGGCAGGGGTGGTGGATGGCAGGGGTGGTGAATGGCAGGGGTGATGGATGGCAGGGGTGGTGGATGGCAGGGGTGATGGATGGCAGGTGTGGTGGATGGCAGGGGTGGTGGACGACAGGGGTGATGGATGGAAGGGGTGGTGGATGGCAGGGGTGATGGATGGCAGGGGTGGTGGTTGGCAGGGGTGGTGGATGGCAGGGGTGGTGGATGGCAGGAGTGGTGCATGGCAGGAGTGGTGCATGGCAGGAGTGGTGCATGGCAAGGGTGGTGGATGGCAGGGGTGATGGATGGCAGGGGTGATGGATGCAGGGGTAGTGCATGGCAGGGGTGATGGATGGCAGGGGTGATGGATGGCAGGGGTGGTGGATGGCAAGGGTTATGGATGGCATTTGTGATGGATGGCAGGGGTGATGGATGGCAGGGGTGATGGATGGCAGGGGTGATGGATGCAGGGGGATGGAGGGCAGGGGTGAGTGGATGGCAGGGGTGGTGGAGGGCAGGGGTGATGGATGGTACAGGTGACGGATGGCAGGGGTGGTGGATGGCAGGGGGTGGTGGATTGCAGGGGTGGTGGATGGCAGGGGTGGTGGATGGCAGGGGTGATGGATGGCAGGGGTGGTGGATGGCGGGGTGGTGGATCGCAGGGATGAGGGATGGCAGGGGTGGTGGATGGCAGGGGGTGGTGGACGGCAGGGGTGATGGATGGCAGGGGTGGTGGATGGCAGGGGTGGTGGATGGCAGGGGTGAGGGATGGCAGGGGTGGTGGATGGCGGGTGATGGATGGCAGGGGTGGTGGATGGCAGGGGTCGTGGATGGCAGGTGTCGTGGATGGCCGGAGTGGCGCATGGCAGGGGTGATGGATCTCAGGGGTGTTGGATGGCAGGGGTGGTGGATGGCAGGAGTGATGGATGGCAGTTGTGGTGGATGGCAAGGGTGATGGATGGCAAGGGTTATGGATGGCAGCGGTGATGGATGGCCAGGGGTGGTGGGATGGCAGGGGTGATGGATGTCAGGGGTGATGGATGGCAGGTGTGATGGATGGCAAGGGTGATGGATGGAAGGGGTGATGGATGGTAGGGTGGTGGATGGAAGGGGTGGTGGATAGCAGGGGCGATGGATGGCACAGGTGATGGATGGCAGGGGTGGTGAATGGCAATGATGATGGAGGGTAGGGGTGATGAATGGCAGGGGTGGTGGATTGCAGGGGTGGTGGATGGCATGGGTGATGTATGGCAGGGGTGGTGGATGGCAGGGGTGATGGATGTCAGGTGTGATGGATGGCAGGTGTGATGGATGGCAGGGGTGGTGGATGTCAAGGGTGATGGATGGCAGGGGTGATGGATGTGTAAGGGTGGTGGATGGCAGGGGTGATGGATGGCAGGGGTGATGGATGGCACAGGTGACGGATGGCAGGGGTGTTGGATGGCAATGGTGATGGAGGGCAGGGGTGATGGATGGCAGTGGTGGTGGATTGCAGGGGTGGTGGATGGCAGGGGTGGTGGACGGCAGGGGTGATGGATGGCAGGGGTGGTGGATGGTAGGGGTGGTGGATGGCAGGGGTGAGGGATGGCAGGGGTGATGGATGGCAGGGGTGATGGATGGCAGGGGTGGTGGATGGCAGGGGTCGTGGATGGCAGGTGTCGTGGATGGCCGGAGTGGCGCATGGCAGGGGTGATGGATCTCAGGGGTGGTGGATGACAGGGGTGGTGGATGGCAGGAGTGATGGATGGCAGTTGTGGTGGATGGCAAGGGTGATGGATGGCAAGGGTTATGGATGGCAGCGGTGATGGATGGCAGGGGTGGTGGATGGCAGGGGTGATGGATGTCAGGGGTGATGGATGGCAGGTGTGATGGATGGCAAGGGTGATGGATGTAAGGGGTGATGGATGGTAAGGGTGGTGGATGGAAGGGGTGGTGGATAGCAGGGGCGATGGATGGCACAGGTGATGGATGGCAGGGGTGGTGAATGGCAATGATGATGGAGGGCAGGGGTGATGGATGGCAGGGGTGGTGGATTGCAGAGGTGGTGGATGGCATGGGTGATGTATGGCAGGGTGGTGGATGGCAGGGGTGATGGATGTCAGGTGTGATGGATGGCAGGTGTGATGGATGGCAAGGGTGATGGATGGAAGGGCGATGGATGGTAAGGGTGGTGGATGGAAGGGGTGGTGGATAGCAGGGGCGATGGATGGCACAGGTGATGGATGGCAGGGGTGGTGAATGGCAATGGTGATGGAGGGCAGGGGTTGATGGATGGCAGGGGTTGTTGATTGCAGGGGTGGTGGATGGCTGGGTGATGGATGGCAGGGTGGTGGATGGCAGGAGTGATGGATGGCAGGGGTGGTGGATGGCAGGGGTGGTTGATGGCTTGGGTGGTGGATGGCAGGGATGATGGATGGCAGGGGTGGTGGATGGCAAGGGTGATGAATGGCAGGGGTGATGGATGGTAAGGGTGGTGGATGGCAGGGTGGTGGATGGCAGGGGTGTGGATGGCACAGGTGATGGATGGCAGGGGTGATGGATGGCAATGGTGATGGATGGCAGGGGTGATAAATGGCAGGGGAGGTGGATGGCAGGGGTGGTGGATGGCAGGGGTGATGGATGGCAATGGTGATGGATGGCAGGAGTGGGGTGATGGATGGCAATGGTGATGGATGGCAGGAGTGATGAATGGCAGGGGTAATGGATGGTAGTGGTGGTGGATGGGAAGGGTGGAGGATAGCAGGGGTGATGGATGGCAGGGGTGGTGGATGGCATGAGTGGTGGATGGCAGGGGTGATGGATGGCATTGGTGCTGAATGGCAGGGGTGCTGGATAGCAGGTGTGCTGGATAGCAGGGGTGATGGACGGCAGGGGTGGTGGATGGCAGGGGTGGTGGACGGCAGGTGTGGTGGATAGCAGGGGTGGTGGATGGCAGAGGTGGTGGATGGCAGGGGTGATGGATAGCAGGGTTGATGGATGTGAGGGGTGGTGGATGCATGGGTGGTGGATGACAGGGGTGATGGATGGCAGAGGTGCTGGATGGCAGGGGTGCTGGATAGCAGGGGTGATGGACGGCAGTGGTGGTGGATGGCAGGTATGGTGGATAGCAGGGTGGTGGATGGCAGGGGTGATGGATGGCAGGAGTGGTGGATGTCAGGAGTGGTGGATGGCAGGGATGATGGATGGCAAGAGGGGGTGGATGGCAGGGGTGGTGGATAGCAGGGCTGGTGAATGGCAGGGGTGATGGATGGCAGGGTGGTGATGGCTGGCAGGGGTGATGGATTGCAGGGATGATGGATGGCAGGGATTGTGATAGATGGCAGGGGTGGTGATGAATGACTCTTGTGGTGGTAGATGGCAGGGGTGTTGATGGATGGTAAAGGTGGTGATGAATGGTAGGGGTGGTGGTGGATGGCAGGGGTGTTGATGGATGGCAGGAGTGGTGATGGATTGCAGGAGTGGTGATGGATGGTAGAAGTAGTGATGAATGGCAGGGGTGGTAATGGATGGCAAGGACTGTGGTAGATAGCAGGGGTGGTGATGGGTGGCGATGGATGACAGGGGTGGTGATGGATGGCAAGGTTGATGATGGATGGCAGGGGTGGTGATGGGTGGCAATGGATGACACTGGTGGTGATGGGTGGCAGGAGTGATGGTTGGCAGGGGTGATGGATGACAGGGGTGGTGACGGATGACAGGGGTGGTGATGGATGGCAGTGGTGGTGATGGATGGCAGCGGTGGTGATGGATGGCAAGGGTTGTGATAAATGGCAGGGGTGGTGATGGATGGCAGGGGTGGTGACGGGTGGCAGGGGTGGTGATGGGTGACAGGGGTGGTGACGGATGGCAGGGGTGATGGATGGCAGGAGTGGTGACAGATGGCAGTGGTGGTGATGGATGGCAGTGGTGGGAATGGATGGCAGGGGTAACGGATGGCAGTGGTGATGGATGACAGTGGTGGTGATGGAAGCATTGGATGGCAGGGGTGGTAATAGATGGATGATAGGAGCGGTGACATATGGATGGCAGGTATGAGGATGACAGGAGTGGTGATATAATAAATACCAGGGGTGGAATATAAGAATAGCAGGGGATGGCAGGGATGGGCGTGGTGTTGTTTAGACTAGAGTCAGTCAAGCAAGCATTGATGTTGAGTGTGTGGGTGGGGCTAGTGGGATATTGCCATGGCAACCACTCTATTATTATTGTCCAGACCTTTTCTTCTCTTATTTATATAGTACTATTTTTGATGCGTTAAAGAAAAACACAATTCACTCTCTCTCTCTCTCTCTCAGAATCGACTAAACAGGATAAAGTGTCAAGTCCTATTCAGGAGGGCGAGGTGGACGTACAAGGAGTCGAGACTGACCTCCAAGGAGTCAAGGTTGACCTCAGAGTAGTCGAAGTTGACCTCCATGACAGCAAGTCTCACTTGAGAGACACTGAAGAAACATCAGATGCAAAACTGATCGAGCAGAAACAGGAAATAGGCATAATACACGAAGAATAACAAAGAAAATGGGAAGACCGCGAACAAATGGGATGACAGAAAATGACAAAAAAGAAGAGAAAATGGGAAGAGCATGATGGAAAACGATAAAAAGGGAGAAAAGGAGACGAACAGGAGAGAAAACAGGAAGAACATGAGAAACAACGGTAAAATAAAGAGAAAATGGAAAGAACATTAGGGAAAATGGCAAAACAAGAAAGAAAACGGGAAGAGCATGAAAAAAACGGCAAAACGAAAAAAACGGGAAGTGATATGGGAAGAGAGAAAACGGAAGAGTGAGATGGGATGAAACAGAGAATACTAATAAAAATCAACATTTAAAAGGAAGAATATAAAAAACAAGAAAGAAAACAGGAGCAGCATAAGACAAAAGAAGAGGAGGAGGAACAAGAAAGAAAGAAAGAAAGCACCCACAGTTATAATTATCATTATTTCCTCACCAGACTTCAATAAAGTTAGAATTAATAGCAGCCTTACTATAACAAACCTTCCATTACAAAGAATAATAATGAAAATAATATTGTACAAGAATGGTACACAATACCGACAAAATTAAGACATGTGCAACATCTGGGTATCTTTATTGTAGACGTTTCGCCATCCAGTGGCGTTAATACAAATTCCAGGACATAACTTGAAGACAGTAGAACTATATACAGAAGATGAAGTAATCAGTCCCTCCGCTGAGGGACTGATTACCTTATCTTCTGTATATAGTTCTACTGTCTTCTAGTTGTCTTAGAATCTGTATTGATGAAGTAAATAAAATACCCAGATGTTGCACGTGTGTCTGAAAATAATATTACCGCGACATATAATAAAAATAATAATAATAAAAACAGTAATAATAATAATAATAATAATAATAATAATAATAAACGTGCCAAAAAAGTTGAATTAATTGTTGAAGAAAAAGTGAATGCTTAGACTCGAGTCATTTTCTTTGGTCTATTATTATATTTAATAATAATAATAATAATAATAATAATAATAATAATAATAATAATAATTATTATTATTATTATTATTATTATTATTATTATTATTATTATTATTATTATTCAGATATTATTATTCATATTATTAATACTACAGAGAAGCGCTGGAGAATGAGAGCTAATTAGGTTTGATCCCTGGAGATTGCTTCTCAATCCTTGGATCAAAATCCCTTCACCAGCTCGAAATTTAAGACTACAAAAATATTTTTGATTTGGGAACTGAGAGTATCACACACGTAGTAAATGACAGCAACAGACACACTAAACTTATCCTTCAGGAGAAAATATGTCGTGCCGAATAGGTAAAATTAGTCAATTAGCAAGAACTCGCTTAAAATTAAGTCCTTTCTAAAAATTTCTCTTATACGTTTAAAGATATTTTTTTTTTCATTTATGTTAATGTAAAAATTTATAATTTCGTACCAAAATAAACTTAGAAAAATTACTAAACCTTTTTATAACAAGCGCAATCGAATTTAGTCTAATCCAACTAAATATATTTTACGTAAATTTACAATAATTTAATAATAAACAAACACAATGAAATATTTTTTCTCGTTAGGTTCAGAATGATTTTTGCCAAATTACTGCATACACAAATTTTCGCTTGCCTTATTTGGCAAGAAGAGCGTTGCTATTTAAGCCAAAATCGCAAGTTTTACCTATTCAGCACAACATATATATATTTTTTCATTTTTTTTATTAACACATAAGCCGTTTCCCACCAAGGCAGGGTGGCCCGAAAAAGAAAAACTTTCACCATCATTCACTCCATCACTGTCTTGCCAGAGGCGCACTTACACTACAGGTATAAAACTACAACATTAACACTCCTCCTCCAGAGTTTCCTTAAATCAAGTACATTAAGTCCTAAAAAGCATTTATCTTCATTCACTCATATCTAAAACGCTCACGTATACCTGCTGGAAGTCCAAGCCCCTCGCACAAAAGAAACCTCCTTTACCCTCTCCCTCCAGCTTTTCCTATTTCATTCTCTACCCCGCCTTCCCTCCACTACAGACTTATACACTCTCAAAATCATTCTATTTTGTTTCATCCTCTCTACATGTCCAATCCACCTCAACAACCTCTCCTCAGCCTTCTGGATAATAAATAGTTTTGGTAATTCCGCACCTCCTCCTAATTTCCAAACTACGAATTCTCTGCATTATATTAACACCACACATTGCCCTCAGACACGGTATCTCCACTTCCTCCAGCCTTCTTGTTGCAACATTCACCACCCATGTTTCACACCCATATAACTACACTCTCATACATTTCCTTCTTCGCTTCCACGGATCAAGTTCTTTGTCTCCACAAACTCCACTCACCCTTTTCCCCTCATCAATTCTATGATTCACCTCATCTTTCATAGACCCATCTGCTGACACGTCCACTCCCAAATATCTGAATACATTCACCTCCTCCATACTCTCTCCCTCCAATTTGATATCCAATCTTTCGTCACCTATTTTTTTTTTTGTTATCCTCATCACCTTACTCTTTCCTATATTCATCTAAATTTAATTTTCTTCTTTTGTATACCCTTCCAAACTCATCCACCAACCTGTGCAACTTACTCTTCAGAATCTCCCAAACAAACAGCGTCATCAGCAAAGAGCAACTGTGTCAACTCCCACTTTGTGTTAGATTTTTTATCTTTTAACCCCACATCTCTTGCCAATACCCGAGCATTCACTTCTCTTACAACTCCATCTATAAGTAAATTGGACAACCTTGGTGACATTACACATCCTTGTCTAAGGCCTACCTTTACTAGGAAATAATCTCCCTCTCTCCTACAAACTCTAACCTGAGCCTCACTATCCTCGTAAAAACTTTTCACTGCTTTCTATAACCTATCTCCTATTCCATACATTTGCAATATCTGCTACATTCCTTCCCTATCCACCTTGTCATACGCCTTTTCCAAATCCATTAACTCCACAAAAACCTCTTTACCCTTATCTAGATACTGTTCACCTATATGTTTCACTGTAAACACTTGGTCTACACACCCTCTACCCTTCCTAAAGCCTCCTTGTTCATCTGCTATCCTGTTCTCCGTCTTACTCTTAATTCTTTCAATAATAACTCTCCCATACACTTTACCAGTTATACTCAACAGACTTATTCCCCTACAATTCTCTTTTGTCCCCTTTGCCTTTATACAAAGGAACTATGCATGCTCTCTGCCAATCCCTAGGTACCTTACCCTCTTCCATACATTTATTAAATAAAAACACCAACCATTCCAAAACTATATCCCCACCTGCTTTTAACATTTCCATCTTTATCTCATCAATCCCAGCTGCTTTACTCCCTTTCATTCTACCCAATGCCTCAAGAACTTTCCCCACACTCATAACTCACTCTTCCTCACTCCTACAAGATGTTATTCCTCCTTGCCCTATACACAAAATCACAGTTTCCCTATCTTCATCAATATTTAACAATTCCTCAAAATATTCCCTCCATGTTCCCGATACCTCTAACTTTTAATTTCGTAACTCTCTTCTATTTTTAACAATCAAATGTATTTGTTCCCTAGGCTTCCTCAACTTATTAAATCTCGCTCCAAAACTTTTTCTTATTTTCAACAAAATTTGTTGATAACGTCTCACCCATTCTCTTATTTGCTCTCTTTTACATATATATTTATACAGACATAAATATGAGAGTTGGGAAAGTGAAGAAATAAGTGAAGTACTGAATGGTACACAGAGATAACACAGGGTCAGAAATATTCATGTAGACCATAGCAGGTAGTGAAGGAACACAGATGCAACATAACACAGGTGTGCCAGGATCACAGAGAAACCCAGATGAGAAAGGAGCACAGGTGAGAAACACCGCGAGCTGGACTAAGTGATGTAAAGCAGTGCTTCAGCTGGTGCTGTTATCGGTGGCGGTTCTGATACAGGTCTTGCAATAGGAAACAGTACGTCAGCAGGTGTTGCTGTTTCTGGCGTTTCTGAAGAAAGTGCGGGTACAGATCTAGAAATACAAAACGGTGCATCAGCTCAGAGGCGTCGTAAGGAAGGGGGGGGGAGGGTAGAGCCGCCCCGGGTGACACCATAGAGCCTGTAAAGGTGACACTAATGCCCAAAATAGTGTTGCACTGTTTTATATTATATATTCACAAAGTACAAATAAGCCTATATAGGGAAAATCATTGATTTTGATGATGTGATAGATGATTTTGCAGGGTTGAAGGCAAGGAAATGTAAGATTAGATTCACTGAGATGTTACCTGTACTCAAGGTCAAATCGGAACTAGTGTTTCTCTGATATTGCAATGTTTTTCTTTATTTTTCAAGTTTTTTTACATTGTTGAAGATGAATAAATGTAGGATCTGTTGGCTGTACTCAAAGTGGTATTTGAGTTTATGTTTCCTCAATATTACTACGATTATTTATTTTATCATTAATAAAGTTGAGAAGTATTCTCCTGTTCAGTTTATGGCCCTTAAACGTTCTCATTGTTAAACATTAGTCACTGGTCATGCAGCAGTGACGTAACTGGAGTTTACCCCCCCATCCCCCCGCCCTTGAATTTCATGGGGGTGACACCAAAGATGCCGCCCCGGGTGACACCAGAGATTCCGCCCCGGGTGACACTCTAGCGGCGCCTCTGCATCAGCTGGCGCTGTTGCTGGTTCGGATACTACTTCTGAAGTTAGTGATGGTCCAGTTGGTAGTGTTGCTGGTTCTTGTGCTATCGCTGAGGACGGTGCTGGTACTAGTGCAGATCTATAAATTACACCAGTTGGTAACCCAGTCCCCACAAATACCAGGCAACAGAAAAAAATGCGCTAATTCTATGCTTGGGTGTCTGTAGACATAGAAAGTCTGGAAAAATGAATGCGACGTGCAAATTTGACCAACCATAAAAAAATGTCGTGATCTCCCAACCAAAGGAATGTGTCGTTTTACCTCTTCCTTGCATACTATTAGAAAGGGACCAAGAGGTACAAACATTAAAACCATGGAAAACTAACCATGGTAGTTACAACCATTCAGTAGCAAGATTTTTTTAGTGCCAGAAAGCAGAAAGAAATAGCAAGAATGACAAAAATATTTCACCATCACGGAGTTTTGTTGCACTGGAGACACATTCAGTGATCCCTCTGCTTGTGCCACCAGAACCGTAGATGTTAATACCAACGACGAAATCCACCAACAAACAAGCAGTACATCATTTACTTTTTTTATATAAATACTGTATACAGGACCTTAAACCATCCACCAACAACAAAATATCATTTGTCAGTGGGCTCCTGGCAGAGTCAAATGCAAGGCTTCCAACTTTCAGAGACCCCACACAAGAGACCACTTTAACAACGAAGTATGGATATCAGGGTACAACTTATTTAGATGCGACCGTAACAACAGACAACAAGGGGTAAAGCAGGTTTGATCTATATGTTAGAAAGTAGGTCATCTGAGAAGTTACTAAGCACCAC